AGAAGGGGTACCTTCTCTAGAAGCGTGGTGGTGCCACTCTGAGCTGGCTCCAAGAAGGGCCTGGCTGTGGCCTTGGGGTCTTACTCCCCTCTCCCCACTTTGTGTCCTCCCTGCAGGCACTGCAGAAGCTCTCTGATGTCACCCTGGTACCTGTGTCCTGCTCAGAACTGGAGAAGGCAGGCGCCGGGCTCAGCTCCCTCTGCCTGGTGCTCAGCACGCGCCCCCACAGCTGAGGGCCCGGCCTTAGGGTTCTGGCTGGCCAGGGGTAGGGCAGCATAGGGAGTAGAAGGGGAAGGAGGCTTAGATAGAGGACGGTGAATAGGTAGTAGTGGGGAGAGGGCCCCAAGATGGGGGGGTGGGGGCTTAGTGTGGGAAAAAGGATAGAGTCCACTGGGTGAGTCCTCTTCCTCAGAACTAATAAAACAGAACTGACCTTTTAGACTGGGCTGTGGCTGGTGTCTTACTGGGATAGGGACAGGGCTGAAATCTGAGGTTGAGGTTAGTCTCTCATTCATCAAACCCTCATTAGGCACTTACTGACTCAGTGCCCAGCCCTATCATAGGTGTTTGGGCACAAGATGGATAGGATAGTATTTCTATTGTGGGGAGCATATATGAGGTAGAGAAGAAAGTCTAGGGTGGATCACTCAATTTATCTAAATGTCAGATGATTCAGAGACTGGTAGATTACCAACCCACCCCAAGTTGATAGAGAGGAAGAAGTGACGCTTTCAGGGACGTTCATTTTCATTCACTCATTTACTGAGGCTTAGCAGTAATATAAAAAGGGTCAGTCTTCTGATAGCAGGGAACTCACAGTACATTGAAATTGAAATACAGGTTGTGATGGAACAATTCACAGGGTGTTGTTGCTAAGAGATAAATAAGGAGACTGCCTACAGCATCAAAATGTATGCAGGGGTAGGCAGAGAGGGTCAGGAATGGCTTCCCAGAAACAGCAACATTTCAACTGAGTCTTGGGGATAAAGAAGAATTAGCCAGGAAGGTAGTGGGGAGGAGGAAAAAAGGTCCAGGAAGAAGGACTTGTGTGGCGCGAAGCCGTATTTGGAGGCTGGGGAGAACCTCTGCCAGGTTGGCATGCTGTGCGCTTGTGGAGTGACAGAGACAAGCCTGGAGGGTAGGCAGAGTGCTGCCAGCCCCTTGTACCCAAAGCCAAGGCCCATGGGTCCAGAGCTGAAAGTTATGGAAAGAAATCCTGCAACTCTGGAATACAGGTTGTGAGAAGGTTTGCATTTGGGGAGATCCTCTCTGGCTTCAGGGAAGAGGGCAGGGGCAAGAGGATGAGGTGGGGCTATGAGTCACCCAGGGAGGAAATGAGGAGAGTATATTCAGGTGGCAGCCCTGGGCGTGAAGAAGGGTATGGATTTCACAGTGACATTAAAATAGAAAGATAGGACTTGGTTCATTGTGTGGGAGTGAGCAGAAGGAGGTCTGCATGACTCCCAGTTTCTGGCTTAGGCAACTGGTTGATCAAGAGAGAATGCAGAGGAGGATTGAGTGAGTGACAATGAGTTGGGTTTTAGATGTGCTGGGTGCAGAATGCCTACAGCCAGCCAGGCAGGGATGTCCCAGGGATAGATGGGAAATCCCATTACTCGAGATCTGAGCTGGAGAGAGCTCTAGGTGTTGTTTGCAGAGGTGAGGGCTGAGGACTGGCTGTGGATGACAGATTCCCAGAAGAGAGGGAAGTCAGATAAAGGGACGAACCTAGAATGGTGGGGAATACCATGGGGATAGGGAGCAAGGAAGAGGAGTCCAAAAGGAAGACACCAGCATAAAGAAAGGAAGTAATCAAAGACCAAGCTAAAAACTCTACTGGGTGTGGCCTTTAGGACCTCACTGGCAACCTCATGGAGAGATGACGAGCAGGAGGAGTGGAGTGAAGGAAAAGACAAGGTGTAGGCCCCTGATTCAAAGAGCTGGACTGTGGAGGGAACCAAGAGACAGGACAACTATCTAGGACTTGTTGATGTCTTAAGATAGGGAGGCAGGGCTTGATCAGGTTTAGAGAGGGCACCAGTGGTGAAGAAGACATGAAAGTTACAGGAGGGAGGGTAACTGAAGGAGCACGGTCAGTCGCAGAGAACCCGGGGCTCCTGACTCTCACGCTAGTGCTCATTTCTATCCCGTGGTGCATTCCTTTGCCAGGTGAGGGGCCAAGAAGGGGTGGGGAGTTGTGGAGAGCTGGGAACCTCCAGCTTGTGAGGTTTGGGATAAGGGCTTCCCTTCAAACTACAACCGCATAGATGGTGGAGGCATCAGCCGGGACCACTGGGGACAACCGGAGGGGCCTTCTGAAGGCCAGATGATCCAGGTCTGCGTAGAGAAGGCTCTGAAAGGTGGGGAGGAAGGCAGGAGGGTCTCAGAAGTCAGACTTGCTGGGGAATTCAGGCCTCTGTCTTTCTTGGTCCACTTTTCTTGGGGATTCTGTCCAACCCCCTTCCAATCCCCAGGCCCTTACCGCCTCCTGGTCCAGTTCCCCTGCATTCTTAGGCTCCTCCTCCTTTACTGGCCTCTGGGGCTTGACTTTCACGAGTGGGTCTATATGGGGGGAACAGAGCTGAAGGATTGAGAGAAAGTGACCAACACTCTGCTCCCAGCAAGGAAGGGCTCAGACTCAGGAATTGAGAGGTGGGAAGTGTGGGAGCAGTAGAAGGAAAACGGGGTGGAGTTAGTCTCACCAAATCTGGGGAGTGGTCGAGGCGGGTGCGGGGGTGATCGTCTGTAACGGATGTATAAGTCTTTGAGAGCCACCAATTTTGTCTCTCGTCTTCCTCCGGGCCAACAGCAACCCAGCAACTCGAAGGCTCAGACCCGCAAAACAATTTAGGCTCCACCCCCACAGATAGTTCCGCCACACTCTGATCCTGCTCGGGCTCTAGCTTCGCCTCCCTAGCCAGGGCTCTGCCTACCAACCTGCGGCCTCGGCCCAAGTGGTCACCTCCCCCCTTCCTCTCTAAACCACACGCCGGAGCTCTAGGTCTAGCTTCTGTCTGCCAAGTTCTGGTCCTGCCCCTCCCGCCTCTGGTCACGACCCGTTTAACCAGGCCCCGCCCATTGTGCTCACCTGTGCCACCACCAGACCACGCCCAACGCCCCGAGTCCCAGCACTAGCCCAGCGCCCAGCAGGGGGATGAGGAGCTGCGGATTCACGGACCCTGGGGGAACGGAGGACGGGGGGTGGTGGTGGATACTGAGGTTAGGGGTGCGAGGACAGAGCACTAGCTCTCCCGCCCAGGAACCCCCCAGCTAAGGCCTCTCTCCCTCCCGAGGGTGTGTGTCCAAGTCCCGCGCACAAAGGCCTGGACCTACCGTGGGTAGGCCCCGGTGCCCTGCAATCAGCCCCGTCCCCTAGCACGTGAAGCACCGTACGGCTTTCTTCCTCGTGGCGGCCCCTGCAGAAAAAGGTGCCTGAGTCCCCCGCGCTCAAGAGGAGCTCCAGCCGCCGGATACTAGGGTCCAGGGCACGTAGGCGACCAGCAAAGGGCTGGACTGGAGACACAGTGGGGGTCCCGCTCGATGAGGCCCACAGGATGGGGCGGCGTCCCTTGGACAAGCCCTTGCAGGCCGGGAAGCTAGGCGCCCAGGCCCAGCGGATGGGATGCGAGACCCCTAGGCAGGAGAAATTCACCGAGTCTCCAGGGCGGCCGTCCAGTGAAGCTGGGGTTGGAGGGGACAGGGGTTAGGGCAAGTCCACAGGGCAAGACGAACCCCACTCCCGTCTCCTCTCCCTCACCTCTCCTCTGTGCCCCCGCCAACCTGGATCATCCCACACACATTAACCCTCCTCTCCCCATCGCTCCCCCCTCCCTCAGTCTTTCCTCGCGCCCATCCCAACTTTGGGGGGGGATGGCTTACCCCCGGGGTCCCCCTGGGCCCTAGACAGCAGCAACGGCAGCAGCTGCAGAACCAGAGCCATGGCTGGGATGTGGTGGGGATAGGAGGCGAGTGTATCAGCGGAGGAAACCGGAGGGAAACTGGGGGGAGGGAGTTGGGGGGGCCGCGGGTTGGGGGCTCCGATAAGAGCGGGGCGGGGCGGGGCAACCAGCCGCCGGGATCCCTCTGGGAGTCCTCGCTGTCTCGCTCACAGCCCTCAAACAATACTCAGTTGAAAGTGGTGCTCGGTCTGGTTACAGAAGCACTTTCGTACTTTAACTCCTGCCGGGTAGCAGTGCCCCCCCCCATCCTGGCTGAGTTCAAATCCTGCCTTGGCCCTCTACTAGCTGAGTGATGTGGGCCAGTCGTTTAACTTCTCTGGGCCTGTTCGTTCATCTGTAAAACAGGGACAAAAGCACCTACCTTCTAGAGTATTGAGAAATAAAAAAGTTATACACCTAAAACGCCTAGAACAATGGCTGACACATAGGAGCACTTGGTGCTCACCATTATTAGTATTATTGCAACTTCTATTCTTATTCTAGCTTCTACTCCACCTCTCTGTGCCCAGGCTGTCCCTCCTGGCCAATGGCACACCACCCAAACTGGCAGGTTTTGATTTGGGAGACACTTTGGAGCAGGCCACATGCCCCATACCCTGGACTTCATTGGCCCCCGCTGAACTAGAGCAAGCCAGGCTAGGCCAAGCCCTAGTTTAGCCAGGGCAGGTTCCGAGAACCATCTAAGGGCCTGAGACATCACCTCAGCAGGCAGCCCCAGCCTATGCCTCTGCTGTTGTGACATCACAGAAGCCCTTGGTGACATCACAAACCCTTCATCCTTCATCCTGTGGCTGAGCGCGGGTTGGGAAGACCATGTCAAGGCTGAATCCAGATGAAGCTGGCCCCTTCCGTCCTCAGTTTCTGCTCATTCCCCTACCAGTGCCCCCCAGGGACCCAAATTGGGCAATGAGTGTAGGCCACACCCCCTTGTCCATTTCCCAGGAACCACAGCCCCTGTAACATCACAGGGGCCTTGGCGATGTCTTTTCAGAGGACTGGGCAGCAGGGCTGTCAGCTGGGAACAAGGAGGGGTGTCTTGGCCTGAAACCAAGAACCAAAATGGAGTTGGCCACGAGTGTACCTACCTTCCACTACCTCTCTCTCCCATCCCTACTCCCTCACCCAGCTCTGCTTAGTCCCTCCCCACCCCTGGTCATCTGGGTGTAAATGGGGAGGGAGGGGCCACCAGAGGCAGGGAAGGGAGGGACCGTTGGGATTATAAATTCCAAAAAGGCCACTCGACTCCCAGAGCTGGATCCCTGAAAATCTACTCTATCAGCTGCTGCACTTGCTACCATCCTCTGGACCCTCATCATGAAAGGCCTTCTGCTGGTCACCCTGTCGGCTCTGCTCTGCTGGGTCTCAGGTGAGCACAGGGGCGCCCCCGGGGCTTCTACACCTTATCCCACCCACTGCCCTCCATTGCCCACTGCTTGGGATCCCAAGCACCCCTAGCTCCAGCTGGCGCAGCTCTCCTGTGCCTCCAGAACCCGGCCTCCCTGTGACAGGGTCCTTGCTCCATTCCTCAAGGACCCATGTCTCCTTCACACTTCTCCCCACCTCCAAGACCCACTCTTCTAACCTGCCAGGGCTCCAGGTCCCCTGTCCCCCATTCCATGACCAAACCCAGCTTACTGGTTTCTCCTCTCACCACCTGCACTCAGCGGAGTCCTCCCAGAAACCTGGGCGTCCAGCCCGGGGCTTCTTGTGCACCCCACCCTCCCCACCTACTCCTTCAGATTCTGTTCTCAGTCATTCAAGCAGTGGCCTTTACTAGTTCACCCCTGCTGTTCTCCGGGGAGGATACCCGCAGGGACCAAGCTTTCTTGAGGGTCCCAGCAATCTCCTAGAACCTCCTGGGGAGCCAGGGAGATATCCCAGCCTTCTATGGAGGGAATGCAGGGCGGCTCGCCCTCAGGGTGAAACAAATCACAGAGGTGCAGTCACCGGGCTCCTCTACCCTTGGACTGAACCCCTCCTTCACCAAACTCTGCTCCTGCAAGCCTAGAATTAGCTGAGGTGGGAGCTTGGAGGGTGCCACTCTCTGCACCCACCCTCTCCGTTCTGGTAAGGTGCTCAGACAGCACCTGACGATCTGCTTCTCAGATATTATTCTCTCCTGTCCAAGAGCTGCCTGAGTGAGAGGATCTCACTCAGGTCTGGTTCCTCTTCCCACACTCATGGTGGTCCCAGGTGGTGAGAGTAAATTGCTGAAGTTGGCCACAGGTGGCTTTGTTGTCAGCCTCAAGTCCCAAGCCATTGACGCAAGTGCTTCAACGATGATTTTTATTTTATTTATAAAGATTTTTAAGATGTTATTTATTTATTTGAGAGAGAGCAAACCAAGCACAAGCAGGGGGAGCTGTAGAGGGGAAGGGAGAAGCGGGCTCCCAGGGAGCCCCCCACCGTGGGGCTCGATCCCGGGACCCTGAGATCATGACCTGAGCCGAAGGCAGACGCTTAACTGACTGAGCCACCCAGGCGCCCCAACAACCATGATTTTTATTTGTAGTATTTCTTCCAATTTCAAGTCTCCATCTGTGAAGGCTCCTGAATTCCTTCATATTTTCCCCCACCTCCTCCATTCCTTGCCTACGGTATTCTCACATTCCATCTATCCCTAGTCCCATGTTTTTGTTGGTAGCTCTGCCCCTCTTGACTCATCCCCGAATGGGGTGGGGTGCAGGACGATATTTAGGGTGAGGCATTCACAGAGCAACAACTCCACCCCCACCCACTTCCCCTCTTCTGCTTCACTCACCTGCTCTGTCACCACCAAACCAAACAGGTCAGAACACCTACTTGATGGGCTCTTCTCCACCCTACCCCACAGCTCGGCTGGTCCCCAGGTGAGTCAGACACCCCATCACCTCAGCCTGACTTGTGTCTTCCCAGCTGACATTCGCTGTCACTCCTGCTACAAAGTCCCTGTGCTGGGCTGTGTGGACCGGCAGTCCTGCCGCCTGGAACCAGGACAACAGTGCCTGACAACAAATGTGTACCTCGGTAATATCCCCCTCTTTAGTGAGGAGAGGGGGCCAGTGGGAGACTCTATGGCGGGGGCCGAGGCCCAACTGTGGCTCAGACTGAGATGGGACAGACAGCCCCAGCAATGACGATATTTGGCCAAGGAGTATTATGTGCCAGGCACCATTCTATGACTTTACATGGACTGTAGACAGTAACAAGTCCAAGGCCTCCCAGCCACAAGTCCCAGGACCAAGGCTGGGGTGAGGGGGCGGGGGACGGAAGTGCAGGAGGACAGTCAGACTTACTGAGAAGAGATAAGGAGGGGAGGGCCAGGGCAGAGTCGGGAAGGAAGCCTGGGCGAGTGCGTGGGGAGGGGAGGTGGACACAGGCACGAAGGCACCCAACCGGGCTGACCCCACGGCCCACTCCTACCCTCAGGTAAGATGTGGGTTTTCTCCAACCTTCGATGTGGCACACCGGGAGAGCCTTGTCGGGAGGCCTTCAACCAAACCAACCACAAGCTGGGCCTGACCTATAACACCACCTGCTGCAGCAAGGACAACTGCAATAGCCCAGCCCCTCGGCCCACCCCAGCGCTGACCCCTGTGCTCCTCGCCTCTGTGGCTGGCCTTGGCCTCTGGCTGCTGCACTGAGACTCACTCCGTCGCTGCCCCTCCTCCCACCTGCCTTAGGCTGCGTTTGGCCCTGTGTCTCCTTGTCCCTCGGCTCCTTACACTGGTCTCTCCTTAACTCCCTTCACTCAGAAAAGCTTTTCTCCAGGCTCTTCACATTTTTTTAATTAGACAGTGGTCTCCCCACCCATCCTTCCACCTTACATCCTCCACTCGGCTTTTCCCGAGTCCCTTCCCATACCCCTCTAGACCATCCCAGACCCTCCACTGGTCCCCAGAAGAGCCCTGCGCTTCGCATCCTGCACTCTACCGTGCCCGACTCGGGAGGGATGGGGATCTGGGCCTGAGATGGGGCTTCTGTCCTGTCCCCTGTGAAGGCTCCCAGGAAGGACCTGATGACCTCACTGTATGGGGCTGATTCCCCAAACCCTGGCCCCCATACATACCTCATCCCCATGCTCACATCTTTGCATTTTGAGTAATAAATGTCTGTGTCTGATAAACTGTGTGTTTACTGTCAAAATACCTGTTGTCAGAGGCCCCCTCTCAGGAAATAACACTCTCAGCTCCTGCCCTTCCCCAAGAATCCTCCAGGGAGTTTCCCTGGGAGGCTGGGCTGGGGCAAATGGAGAAACGGGTTTTTCAGGCCTCCATCCTTCCTTCCTGTGTCTGGGGTTGGCACACAGGTCCCAGTGTTTGGAGCAACAACCCTTATCCCAAATTTAGGCCACACCTCTGATGTACTGCCAAGAAGGAGGTGCAGCCTGGCTTGAAGACTCCCCCAAAAGGGTAGGAGAGCTGCATGGGCATGGGACCCAGGACCCTCTTAGCAGGCCCCAGTCCCTCAGGTTAGAGTCAAGGGCCTCACTTAGCCAGGTTACTAAGCAAGGCACCAAGCAACCCTCCCATCATGGGGCTTCCATTTCCTTTCTCAATCCTATAGAGTCACATTGGGAACCAAGCTGCAAATGGGAGAAAGGGGAACAAACCCAACCGGGTCCTTGATTCCTGTGACCCCCCCACTCAGCCCAGAGCCCACTCCCCTCAGTGGCTTCACGGCTAAGGAGGATTCTCCCTAGCAATAGGATCCAGGAGTCACTTAGGGCACATTCTCCATTGTCCTTTGGGGTTTCATTGGTTAAGGAGTAACTAAGTCTGCTGACGCTTGGTAACTAGAACACGGATGCCCCCATAATACTCGTGCAATTCTCCCATCAACGAAGGATAGATGGCATTTTCCAGTCAGCTCTAGAGTGGTGGAGAGATTTTAATGGCTCACAGAGGGGTGTTTGTCTTCTCACCTCAGATCTCCTTTGTTCCCTTGCTCCCTTGCTCCCCTTCCTTCCCCCCGAGCCTACTAGCCTCTCCACAGTGCTGGCAAGAGCCAGGCCAGGGCGGTGGCTGCTGCAGCCAAGATGCATGGCGGGGCCACGGTGCTTGCCACAGCGCTGTTACACAGGTCTCCGACGCAGCAGTCCCTGTGGGTTGTGTAAGTCACATCTCCCACCAACTCTGTTTCCACTTGATTGCAATGATGGGCCACCACGCAGGGTGGATAGTGATGAATCAAGGTCACCGAGGCTGAGAGAGAGAACAAGACTGGGGTGTTGGACTCTTGGCTTGAGGACTTGCCTTCTAGGGCAGAGCGGAGGTGACTTCAAGGAGCCCAAAGGGATTCTCTGCCCCCTCCAAAAAACACCTCCACGAAACCAAGTGACCAAAATTAACATTGACATTGTGAGCCCTCTGATTCAATGGCACTGAAAAGGACCGACCTCCCTTCACTGTGCTGTTCTGGCCAAAAATCCATGACTACAGTCTAATTATGAGAAAATAGTAGATAAATGTAAATTGAGGGGTGTCTCTAAAATAAGTTATGGGGACTCTTGAAAAGTGTCAAGATCGTGGAAGACAAAGACGCAGAACTGTCGCTGACTGGAGACTAAGAAGACGCGAGCGCTAAATGCAATGCCGGGTCCTCGTTTGGGTCCTGGACTGAAGCCAACATCCCTCTTGTCAGTTCAGGTGGAAAATGAACACTACGAGTCCTGTCACCCGCAGGCACAGCCGGACTGACTGAGGAACACACAAGCTTAGGCTCCAGGGATAGGAATGGAACCTGTGGGACAAGTAGTTAATCAGCACTATCCTAAAGACATAATCATTGGATGTGCCTAATGAAATGTCTAACATAAAGAATAAAGATATTTTTTAGATTCCAAGTCTCTTGAGATGGAAAAGACCTCTGGGGGACCAGACAAAGTGGCACCAGAGAGCCTGTGTGGGCATGACCTTGCGTGGGCCTCCAATCAACAGTGTCCACCGTCTCAGAAGACCCCTAGCCCAATTTTGCCCTCAAAAAACTCTCACTTGCAAGCTGTCAGGGGGCGAGGGCGGGGTGGGGAAAAAAAGATTTTATTTGTTTATTTGACAGAGAGAGAGCGAGACAGTGAGAGAAGGAACACAAGCAGGGGGAGTGGGAGAGGGAGAAGCAGGCTCCCCGCTGAGCAGGGAGTCCAATGTGGGGCTCGATCCCAGGACCCTGGGATCATGACCTGAGCCCAAGGCAGACGCTTAACCGACTGAGCCACCCAGGCGCCCCTGTACTATGGTTATATTAGATGTTAACATTAGAGGAAGGGAGGTGAAGGATATACAGGAATTCTACTATTTTTGCACCTTTTCTGTCAATCAAAAATTATTTCAAAATCACACACACACAAACACACACCCTGGTCCTTAGCTAATGTCTACAAGCTTGGTTTAATATTTTGGTCCCTACCTTCAAGGGACAGAACTTTTTCAACCACTTACGAGTGAATGGGCCTCTGAGACTCTGGAGAGTGAAGAGGAGGAGGTGGGAGTCCATGGACAGTGGGCTGCTGGGGGGCTCAGTGCCAGAGTCAGAAGGGGCTACAGACCGCTCTACTCTGCCATGGCATCATCTGCCCAGAGCCAGACTGAGCCTGGTGGCAGGGGAGGGCTGGGGGAAGAGGGAGAAACTGAGAACTCACGGTTTCCACACAGCTTGTTCTGCCCTCGGCCCGGCTGGGGTTTGAGCTCCAAGAAGCCGCAGCACTCCCCCTCCCCGCAGGTGGCCACCGTTTCTTTGCAGGAGCTGCTGGGGCCTCCTTTGCACTCGAAGCAGAAGCATCGCATGTGGTTTCCTGGCAGGAGAGAAGAGGCACTTGACCTGGGCTGACCGGGAGCCAGTTGGCAGAGGGGGACAGGCCTTGGCTGCCTCCTTACCCAAGGCAGACCCCAGCAGGGTGCCGAGCAGGACCCCAACAAGTAAGGAGTTCATTGTGTCTGCCTGAGTCAGTATCACCTCTCTCCCGCCCCCCCTCCCGGGCCCTGATCCGCCAGCCTTATATCCCCCTTGCCTTGGGCTTTATAGGGCAATAAAAAGGGAGGAAAGAATCTCCACCAGCAGGCACTGGGGCCCCAGTGGGGACAGGGAGGGCCCCCCCACCCCCGGGAGAAAGAGCTCCTGGCATGCTCCAGAGTCCCTGGATTCCTCCATCCTCAGCAGCGGTTCTCAAGCTGTGGGCCCAGAACTCCTGGCCCTATAGACCCTTTGAGAGGGTCGTCAATGGTCTTCCTTTTCCAACTACATACCTACATGAGGTTGGCTTTTCTCAGCACACTTCAACCAAAACAACACATCCCAACAGTCTGAGTGCAGAAGCAGATGTGATAACCCGGCCATCTTCTATTCAGCCTGACTTTTATCTAATTCCCCAAAGTGTAGAGCGACACTCCTTTTCTGTGTTGTTGGGAAAGAAGTTACTTTTCACAAAACTGTATTTTGTTAACAGGTGATAGGTTTATTATTTTTATTTTTGAATAAACCTATTTAAAATGCTCTGTTTTCATTTTGAATATAGTAAATACTATAGTAAATACCAATATAAACTCACACAAAGAAAAGCTCTTTGGGGTCTTCAGTAATTTTTAAGAGTATATAGAGGTCCTGAGATTTAAAAAAAAAAAAAAAAAGGCTATCTCTCCTCTGCCCTCCTCCCTCCTCTATCTTACTCCCGATACATCCCTGCTCTGATTCCTCAGATCAGACTCTCCTCCTCAATGTCTTAAACCTCAGTTTTCCAGAATCTACCACCATCTCCTAAATCTTTTCCCTGCATTCCTTCCTAGTCTTTCTGAACTGCCCCCCTAGTGGAAACACATCTGTCCCTCCGGCCCCACCCATGATTAATTCCTTCCTCCGCAGTAGTAATGCTAGGAGAGATAATTATGGGGTACAAATGTTGAGGCTTGGGGGGATCAAAGGGATGTGAAGCTGGGTGGGGTCCCACTTACGCAGCTGAGCTTTGTGTGGAGGGGCGGGTGGGAGAGGGTATTGTTGATTCCACATTCAAACACCACGTTGGAACAATTCTGGGCCAGGCCTTCTAGGAGGGTGACCTTGAGAGACTCAAATGCACGGAGAGGGGAAAGATGGAGCAAACAAAGCCAGGGAGCTGAGCTGACAGAGCCGAGAACAGCTTGAGACAAGGGGAGGTGGGGAGGAGTGAGGGGGAAGGTGACAGACAGAACTCTGAAGCGGCAGACGCAGCTGAGAGCAACACACACAGAACAGAGAAGACCCTGAAGGCTCAAGCCAGACTCAAGTAGGGGGCGGGGAGGATGTGAGAGGTGTGGGGCGCAGGAGCCGCGGGCCCAGGGCCCTTACTGCGTCAGACTGGTGAATCTGGTCCTGGTTCCACCTCCCAGATTCACTCCCTAGGTGTGTTTGTTTACTGGTCCCTCCCTGTCTCGCTCAGATGCTCCAGCTCTCAGGATCTTGGGGTGCAGATCACATTCTCCCAGACTCCTGAACCCTGGGTCCAGCCATGGGCACCTTCAGCATCTTCCTGTGCATCCTGTTCATCTGTGGGGCACTGGGTAAAGGGGTGCCGGTGGGGAGAAACGGGGAAGATGCTGAGCAGAGTGTTGCATGGGCTTTAGAAAGAAGAGCTCCCGGGAATGGCCTCAGGCTAGGAGAAGGGGGAACCAGAAGTTTCTTTTCCAAGGCATTTGAGAATAACTCTCTCTTCCTTGCAGCATCTTGACATGCCTCTGTCCTCTGTCTCCCCTGTTCCTTATCTCACCTCTTGCTTCTTTGCAGAGATCCCGCGGTCAGTGTCAATTCTTATTTGCTCTCTGTCTGGGGCACCATCTGCTTAAATTCTTCACTGACACCCCGCCTTCCCGGTCTGGCTTTGGGTGTCACTCTGCCTTCCTCTCTGACTCTCTTGGCTTCTGTCATGTCTGTGCCTTTCTCAGAACCTCTGGATCCCTCTTGCATCTGTGTCTTTTTCTTTTCCTGAGGTGTCTCCCCTCCATTCCCTGTGTCTCTTTTCTACTTCTGTCTGCCCTTCTCCTTCCCTTTCCCCACCTACCTCTCCCCACCTCTCTGCATGAATCCCTGTCCGGGATCTGGGCTCCAGCCTCCCAGGGGCCTCTCTGCCTCTCCCGACCTCTGCTGAGCCCTCCCCGCCCCACCGCAGGTCTCACCACGCCCCCGCCCCCGCCCCCTGCCCGGGGTCGGCTCCGCTGTTACACCTGCGGCTTCGCCAAACCCTGCTACCCTGTTGCCACCGAGTGTCAGGACGACGAAGCTTGTGACATCAGCACTGGCACCTCAGGTAGGACTCGGGCCCAGTGGCCCTTCTCCAGGCCAATCTCCATCCACCCGTGCTGCTTTTCCTGCTGCCCCACAGCCCTTGCCTCCTTCCTGCCCCGGCCTCAGCATTCTCTTTGTCCCACAGAGCAGAATGAGATCATCGAGCGGAAAGGCTGCCTCCCACGGGCCCAGTGCCCTCTGCAGGGCCGTGCCACCTACTGGTCGCGCTCCTACACTCTGCGGCACCACTGCTGTGAGCAGGACCTGTGCAACACAGCTACCACGCTGCGGCTGCTCCCCAGCCCCCTCCTCACTGCCCTGCTCCTCCTCCTCGGGGCCAGCTTCACCTGGGGAGGCCCCCTCCTCCGCTGGCTTCAAGCTGGTCTGCAGCCTTCCACCCAGGGCTCTGCCCCCATCATCACCGCCTTCCAGACACCCGCATCTGAGATATGCCCAAGAACCTGATTCTGTAGAGACCTTGGATTCCCGGCCTCACACCTTCCCAGACCCCTGGTTCCTTCGGGCACTGCTCTAGCCCCTATAGGCACCTGCCCAGAGCCCCACCTCATAAAGAACACCTGTTCTAGGTCTTTTTTCTTTTCTAAATGCCCACCGCTGATGTCCTATCTCAGCTCCCGGTTTGGGGCAAGGCAGGTGGTTTGATGGAGCTGGGGGTCCCAGGCAAGGGGATTGAAGGGGCACCAGGTAAGGTGAGGAGGACAGTCTTGCTAGGAAAGATTAATTTAGCAGGTCAGGAACTCAGGAAGGAGGTTCTTGGGGGAACTGTGAAGAGTAAATTGAATAAAAGTGCTATCTGGGAGTCTAGGACACTGCTGTGTGTGTGTGTGTGTGTGTGTGTACTCTCTCTCTCTCTCTCCTCCTGTCTGTCTCTCTCTCTCTAAAAGCAAACTAGAGCTGCTTGGTGGGTTGGGCTGGCTGCTGGAACCCGAACTGTAACTTTCACCTCATTCTCCATCTGTGTCATTTGAGTCCTCCTTCTTGCTGATAGCTTCTTAGCTTAAGCTACTGTAGCATAAAGACTTTCGGTGACTCTTCTGAGAAGTCACTCTCCAAGCTTGAGCAGACACACAAAAGGGTGTCTGGTGGAGCTGCTTGTGAGGGTGTAGTGGGGAGTCCAGCTCCTTTCTGCCTGAGACCGGGGAAGGACCAGTTAAGAGCATCAGTAGCCTCCCCTGCTTGACCAGCCCAGGCTTCTCCATGGTTCACAGACAGCCCAGCACACACCCCACCGGGAATCCACCCACCCGCCCCTGTGCACACTCCCTCTACCCAAGGAGATAGCATGTGACTCCTGGGGCTCCCGGGATGTCAGGATGTTGATAAGCCTCTCGCAGCTCCGGATGCCAGATGCCGCATGAAGTGCTAGGATAAGGAGGGTGGCTCGGGGCAGGGGCTGAGCACAGCCACCCCATCCTGACTCTGCCCTCCCCGTCCACGTGAGGAAGTCTGAGGTCTGATTAAAGGTGCGTGTTCTCCCTCCACTCCTCTGTGCGAATGAGACTGAGCAGGGATGAGGGACGGGGTGGGGCGTGGCCTGGTTTAATTTAGAGGCAAGCTGAGTCTTCTTCCTATTCTCTGTCATTCAGTCCTCCTACTTGGTTGCTTCTGTTGTTTTCCCTCTCTGCCCATCTCTTTCCTCTAATGTGAGTCCTTTCCCTTCCCTCTTCTTTAGTCCCCTCCATTTGTCCTGTGGTTTCCCCAAGGCTGACTCTCCACAATTGCTCAAATCTCTGGATTCTTCTATCTCGTCTCTGCCCATGCCCACCCCTCCTCACCCCCGCCAGCCACCCTGGGCTCCCCTCAATCCCATGGTACTGGGGGCTCAGGGCCACCCCTTCACTGGTTGTTATGAAACAGGACACCACACCTTCTCACAGGTGACATCACAGAATAATGCTCTGCTTTCCTTCAGCGCCACCCCCCAACACACACACACACACACACACACACACACACAGAGCTTGACTGCTGGAGACCAACTGGACTGTAAAGTAGCACTCTCATCCCTTCCCCCCTTGCCACGGTTTTCAGGCGAAGCCTTCAGGTGCCAGATGGCCAGAGAGACAGCAGGTCACACTTCCAGCAGATGTCATGGAGATCATCTGATCTTGGGGGCAGGTGGGCTGTGGGTTTTGTGAAGCAGAAAGACAGATTAAGGATACTTCCATTCTCTACCTCCTCAGGAACGGGGACCCCCATACCCACCCCAACCCCAGTCTCCTCTGGGATTTAAGCCTGCATCCCCTAGTGTTCCTCACCTGAGACAGGCCAAATGGATGTTCTCATAGACCTGGATTTCAGGTTTGAACTGAGGAATCGAGGCATCTGGGAAGAAGGAGCCACATGGGGTGCAGCAGAGAAATCACCAGATAACTCAGAGCTATATTCCTTACTACCCTCCTCCCCTAGAGAAGATAGGGTATAGAGGCAAGACGTGAGCCCAACCCTCTGCCTCACACCCACATGTTCTCTTCTTTCCCTCTGGGAGGGAGGGACTCACCTCTGCACTGAGCCCCCTGGACCCTCTGTCTGCAGAGCATGATGCTGAGGGCCAGGATGGTGAACCCCTGACCCACTGTGAGCAACAGCATCAGGATCCAGGACACATCCCAGCCCGTGGAAGGGGCACAAAGGGCAGGGGAGACATCCATGGAGGCTACAGTAAGGGCAAGACAACAGGGGTAAGGAGGGAGGTGGTGAGGGGTTTGTTCCTGTGCCCCAAAGAGAGGCTTCCCCTCGTAGTCTAGTGGGCTCTTCCCACCAAAAGACTTCATAAGCTTTGCCCCCAATTTCCACCAACCCACTTTGCCCATTTTCAAGCCTCTCATGCTGACCCCGTCAGCCCCTGTTGGTATCGAATAGCGACACCCCCCACCCACAGATGGACAGCTAACTCCAGAGCAGACCATCAGCCGTAACTGCAGTCTTTCCTCATATCCTTAATAGTAATCCAAACTTTCAGGAACAAGTAGTGCCTTCCAATTCATTCTTTCTTTCACTCATTCACTCCATAAGCATTCCCCGAGTGCCCACCAAATGCCAGGCACCATATTAGGTGCTGAGGATGTAGAGGGAAATAAGACCCAGTCACTGCCCATTAATTGGCCTTTGCTTACCAAAGTAATGGCCATTTGCTCCTCCCTCCTGCCTTGTAAATGAGTTATTCTACATTCAATAGCATTCTTTCTGTGTATAACGGACTTCTAATTATAAAACAATTATATATATTTTCCCCTTCTAGTTCCACTCTCAGTAGGCCATTAGAACATCAGCGCATATATCTTTTTTTCAAAAGACAATTCCCCCATCAAAAATTCTTCTTTTCTTCCTCTCTGCTATGAGATATTCCACAAAAGTCATAGATTACCCCATTTCTAAGTAATGGTGTATTCCACCAGAAGCCTTCCAGTGGTCAATAGGCCAGTGGTCTATCCCACCAGAGAGCTGGCTTAAACAACCCCCTTCTCTGTTAGGGAGTTAGTCAATAAGAAAAAAAGCCCTCTTCCTACAGGTGATGGTCTGCTCCACCAGAAATCATCCCCCACCAGAATCTGGCCAATTGCAAAGTCCCATCTTCCTCCCCTAACCAGCAGGTGCAGACTGTGCCAGAAGCAATATCCTCTCCCATATCCTCCCTCAGTTTACCTGCCAGGCTAAAGCTGACCCCTTTGTTCTGAGGCATGAGGCAGCGGATGATTCTTGGTCTATGTTCCCCGGACTCAGAGAGCCCCTCCCCAGGACACACCAAGAGCAGGGCAGCCCCATTGCCCCAAAATGACTGTACATGACCCCTCACAGGACCCTTTCCCTCTAGCCAGGTCACAGAGTCTAGGCGTCTGGCAGGGGCCACAGAGCATAAGAGGACAGAGCAGGGGGGTCCATCTGCAGCCCTCGCGGATAGCTGGGATCCTGTGGGGAGAGAGGGACCTCTTAGTTCTCTGCTGGACTTCCTGGCCCCCCAGTGGCCCCTGATCTATGTGCCTTCACTCACCTCGGAGCACGGAGACATCATATACCCTCCAGTTCTGGTACTGGTGTTGCTGACCCAGCACAGCACACCAGTATCGACCGGCGTCTCCCTCCTTGGACCCTTCCAGCCACAACGAGTAGTTCCCCAGCAGTTTCAGCCTGGATACCCTTGTGGGCCTCCCGGGGTCTGGGGCTGGCCTGGCTACTTGCACTTGGGCCACCAGGGCAGTGGAGGAGCCTGCTGCAGGGCTGCGGAACCAGGACAGGAGCTCGTCTCCACTCAGGGCGGGTGGTGAGGGGCACGGCAGCTCCATCGCCTCCCCCAAGGCTACATAGATGGTCTGGATGTTGTCTGTGGGGAGAAGGATGTATGAGACTAGAGACCTGCATCAGATCGACAGCTCCCACTTGACCTCCAACCCCCAGCTTCTGCCCTTCTGGGGTCTCCCCGCATGGGTCTGCCTATGAGTACGTTTCTCAAGTGACAGCTACAAAAAAGTGAGGAGGGGAGGAGAGGGTAGGGCCTCTCCTCCCCTCTCCTCCAGTGGGTGAGGGAATCTGAAGGCAAGAGAAAAAAGGCTAGAATAGTTGGCAAAGGCCCTTTCTCTTCCTCTCCTTTCCCCTTCTCTGGACGTATTTTCTCATCTAACCTTATTTTCTAAGGGAAACTGTACATAACCCCCCCGCAAAAAAAGACTCTACAAAACAAAACAAAACCAAAGCCCCCAAAATTAAAAAGTTAAACATTAGGGACTC